CCTGACAGTTAGAACAATTAATCAGTGGAACAACTTGCCTCCAGAAGTTTTTGAGAAGAGATTGGACAACCATTTGTCTGAAATGATATAGGGTTTCCTGCCTGAGCAGGGGATTGGACTAGAAGACCTCCAAGGTCCCTTCCAACTCTGTTATTCTGTTCTGTAAATTGTTGCTGAGAATATTATACAGATACAGTTAAAACATTTGGACAAATTTGGCTGCTAGCTGATGAGAGCCTCAGGTGATTCCTCCTCTATTCTTTCATCTTCCTTGCCAAGTTCCTATTTGATCTTCCTGTTTATTTGCTATGTGCGTTTTTCTCTCTAAAAACTGGGTTCCTTTCAGGCCCTCTAACATTATAAAGAGGAAAAGACCAAAGTGGCTTTCATAATAAACTATTAAGAAACTGCCTCTGGACACGCATTTGAATGTGTGTTGTAATTTTCATGAAGTAATTTTCATGAAAATTAGGATAATTGAAGCGTCCCTTTTATCCAAGGATGCTCAAGTAAAATGTAATTATGATGGGCTGCGATCAGTCAGGTTGAATCCCTGGACACATCTTAGGAGCTTTAACCTGTCTATCTAACTACGGGATTCTTCTACCAAAACCTGTCTATCCTTCAGCTCAAGACGGAGAAAAAAAAAATGGAAAGGTGGATACTTTGGATCTTGTTATTCAAAACCCAGAAGTAACAAACAAAATAGGAGGAATTGTGTAGCAATGAAAGAAAGGTTTTAATACCTTTATTCACACAATTCTTTAAGTGTATAAAAAGAAAGATTGTTGGGAAAAGGGTAATTATATGGAAGAAAAGCAAGGGCAAAATTATCCGGAAATCAGTACAGATCTTGCATTTCAGCACATGTTCAAAGTTCTCACAGAAAATTGCATGCTGCTTAGATGTAACTAAGCAGGCCTTCTTTCCTTCCTAAATTTTATATAATATAATAATGTATACACTGTAATATGGGAGATAAGTAGAAAGCAGCTTCTTTAGGGAGAATGATATAAACCCAGAAATGTGATTAGTTTATGTTAACTCTGTTAAAATACCTTGAAGTACATCTTGATGTTAACATCCTGCTCCTATTTTGGCATTTCATAACATGTAGAATTCTACAATATTTTGTTGATGAGCACAGCTATGCACCCACACATATTGCTTAAATAAACAATATACATTTCAAACAATTTAGAGAGCTGATCCTTCTCTCAAATGTGATCCTGAGTTTAGCTTATTTAGATCTACTAATATAGTAATAGAAATTATCAAAATCCATACACAAAGCAAATGTATCCTCTTTTTCCCCCTCTGGAATTTAATGCTTAAGGTCCTAAATCAACTTATGCCATGGGTTTGGTTTTGTGGTTCTATTTTATTTTGTTTTTTGGGCTGTATATGACCCAGCTACTTGCAATTTGTAAACTAAGATTTACAGCTAAATACAATGTATGAACCCAATCATAGGGAGTTATTTGACAAACCATTGTAAAAGCCATCATTAACTTAGTGTGATGTGTGAATACATTCAGTGTATTATTGTCTTTTTGTAGTCTTGCTTTCTGAATTTCCAACTGTGCTCTAAAACAGGGCTTTTCAACCTTTTCACCCATTGTACCATTTTTAGAATATGGCAACATCTGAGTACCACCAGTTGCCTAGCAAGGTATCAAAAACTTGATGACCAAAAAAAAAAAGGGAAAAAAGTGATAAAGTACAGGTAGTCCTCGACTTACAACTGTTCGCTTAGTGACTGTTCAAAGTTACAATGGCACGGAAAAAAAGTGCCCCCCAAGCCACAGCCGAGCAAGACACCTGCCTGCCCGCCTGGCCGCACTCTTCCTCCTGTCCAAGGTTTTCATTGTTGTGAGCATTTCTGTTGAGGATTGGCAGCGGGGGTGGGGTGGGAGGGTGTTTGGTTTTTATTCCCCCCATCTGCTGGGTGGTTGCAGCAGGTTTTGGTCACTTCACATGACTCTGGGACATTGTGACCGTTATAAATATGAATCAGGTGCCAAGCATCTGAATGTAAATCACAAGACCCTGGAGATGCTGCAACATTCCAGCCGATCGGCGCTTCTTCAGGGCTCAAAAGTGCCAGGATCAGTGCCACTTTCCAGCTGGAGCCTGGCGCTGATCCTGGCGCTTCCACTGAGCCCTGACAGCCCTGCAGCTCCAGCCATCTCTCTCTCAGGCTTGTGCGGTGCTGTCACCAGTTCAGCTCATTCCCTTCCCCCACTACCACTTTTCTAGGATGGTCACGTACCACCTGCCAGGTGCCAATGTACCACAGGTGGTATCCATACCACTGGTTGAAAAGCCCTGCTCTAAAACATCAAACCAAAATCAAGATAATTTCTCATGGAACCAGGCTTTCTTATTCTCCAGCTGTTATGGAAAACTTGCCTTCAAATTCCTGCAGACTGACAAAAAGAAGTATGGAAATATGTTCCTTTTATCCGAGAATGCGCAAGTAAAATCTATGTAGGTTGTGTTGTTGTACTTCATCCCTCAGGAACAATACAATCTCTTATGTTGAATACATTTTTATATTCTGAGCAACTGATTCATAGAGAAGTTTTATGTGACAAAAATAAAATAATGGACAGCACAATTACATAATAATTTATTTCCCAGCTGATGTTAGTCCAGAGCACCTCTAGGTATTTTCATGTGGAATACGGAGCTTTCAGGCTTTTCTGCCTCATCCGAGTTTCCATGGTGACATGGCTCAAACATTTCTGAGAAAGGTGAAATGTAAAGCCATCTGTTCCTCAATATTTAGGGCTTTCAATATTTAAATGAAACAACTAACAAGAAAGAGAGCCAGCCAATATGGCAGGGAACCTACTTCTCCCCAGCCCCAGGATTTCTGACAGTTTCTCTTATTCAAGAGTGCACTGTGGTCCATCATTCTGCTTTCTCTATTTGGTGCAGGGAATAATTGATTTCAGCCAGGATGCTTGAGCACGGCATTATTTGGATATTGCAAAGCAGCTTATTGCAGATATTTTTACATTAAGCAAAATGGATATCAACATGTTTCAGTCAGGCCTTAGAGTTCATTTGGCACACAATCAGGTGTCAAAGCCATATCTCTTGAGGATGTATTCTGCTTAAAAGGCTGGGGCTGAACAAAATGGTTCTGTGGCATGAAGGTTCTTCAAACCTATGACCTGTTTATTCAAACTAAGCATCTGATCATTGATTTTGTTCATATTGTAATTTTAGATGGAGATTGTTTCTAGAGAGCTTCAGGTTCTTCAATAACTACTGGAAAACAAAAGGGGCTCTTAATAGCATCTTTTCAGACTAAAACATACTGGCAGTACGAAAAGAGATAAGCTTTTGAGAGCTACAACTGCTCATCATATTTATGCCTTTTAATACCAATATACTAGTATAAAAAGGTGCTGAAGCAATTAGAGGTACTTTTCTTCTAACAGTCTTGCTAAAGTTATGTAGAAAAGACCCCTTGAAATACTTAAAACACATTAATTCTTTATTAATCTTTTACATATGGTTTTATTAATCCACTCAGATTGAATAAGGTCAGATTTTCACCCAAGGATAGGCTGATGGTAGGTATTACTTCCTGGCACAGGCATTCTGAGATGCCCTAGTTAATGTGCTCATGCACTTAAAAGCTTGCATCTGGGTAATGCTTCTTCAAATGCATCCAAAAGGATACAGCAAAAATATATCACCACGCTGGCATCATCTTAAGCTACTAAATGGACTAACACTGGGGCTATTCTCTCCATAAAAACAATGCTGATTAAGAGCCAAAGGTCAGTTTCAGAATCCGTTTTCAATGCCAGAATTCAGCTCAGGAAAAATGAAATGGCAGCGAGCATATACAAAATGTCTTTAACTAATTGCTAAAACCAGTCCCACAACCTGGGTCTGGATTCAAACTTGAACTCTAAAGCAGCTCGGCTTTATAAATCTGCAGGACTGGGGAAGCATCTTATCTTGCAGTTAGTAATATCAAATTATTTCAGTTTTGTTATCTTTATTAAATAATTTGCTACATCTAGCACTGAACAACAAAACTTTGATTAGCCATTTAGAGTTTTCACCCAAGCAAGAATAATGTCAGTCTTCCTTATGGCAGGTGTTTTTTTTAAAACTTGGTGTCAGAAAAAACCTTGTACAAGTTTGTTAAATTCTATATTGGATTTAATATACCTTGTAAATGATAAACATTAGTATCAAGGCAGTCAAGTTTTTAATATTTTTATAGCATGGCTTCTAATGACTACAGTATATTTTTTGTGAAAGTTTATTGCATTCCTGAACTATTAAAATTAAATTTGCTATGATTTCTGTGGCATTCTTTCAGCCAATAGCATGTTCAGCCTGGGTCATATATATATATATATATAGCAAAGCAGGAAATGGATTATACTAGGAATCAGTGCTCCTAATCATTAAAGAACACATCAATTAAATTTTAACTATGTTTCAATTCCATGTCGTTTTCTCCAGCAACTTCATCCGATTCTTATCCCTTCTTGGCTTTACTTTTATTATGTCTATTATCTGCAAATTTGTCTGAAAAACTGTCACCGTTCCAGAGATAAGGCAACGTCTTTGACCATTTCTGAGTACAATCCTGACTCCCGTTCTTTTGGCTTGGATGGAAAAATGCCACTTAGAAAAGTCGTCTGCGCGGGATTCTGAATAGGACTCCGGAGCTGCCTCACCAGCACATGCTCTTGCACGCTTCATCAGCGCATGCAGAGCCCTGCCTGGCGCTAAAACGTAGAAGGGATAATGCCTGCGCTATTTAGGGGAAAAGATTAATTTGGCCAGTTAATCACCATCCCTCCGCTTGGCCACCGCGGGAAAAACCACATGGATCATACAGTGTGATAATCAAGGAGATACGGCCCCCGGAGGTTTGGGGTGGGGGTGGGGTGGGTGGGGTGGGAGGGGTGGCAGAGAGAGGCGCATGCGTATTGCCGGCGGGGTGGGGGAGGACTCAGGTGCTCGGTTGGGAAAGTTGCCCGGGGACCGAAGGGCGGACGGAGGTTGCGCCGGAGCAATTCCACGCAGGAGAGCGGCGCGAAGGGATTTTGCTCCGCTGCCTGCAACGGGAACGGCCGAGCAAAGGCAGGCGCGGCGAGGGCGGACGGGGCACTTCAGCGTCCGACTCGAGCCAGGCAGGGGAGATGCTGCTGCTGCTGCTGCTGCTGCTGCTGCCGCCGTCGCCGCCGCCGCCGCCGCCAGCGATGAGGCAGAGGAGGGTCACGGATTCCGCCGCCTTCGCCGCCTCCGGCAACGGCGGGAAGAGGAACGGGAAGGGGATCTGAAACTTTCCAGTGGGATGCTGCTGAGCGGAGCCGGGCTCCCCCCGCTGCTGCCGCCGCCTTAACCTCCCGCTTCGCTCGCTTTCCCTCAGGCGCCCAGGCGCGCTCGGAGCCTGTTCCGTTGCCGGAGCTCGGCGCCCTCGGATGCCGCCTCTCCAGCTGCTTCTCTGTGGCCGGCGGGGATTGTGGGCTCGGCTTTTCCCTCCGCCTGCAGGGGCGCGGCTGATCACTCGCCCTACCCGGTGGCGGTGAGGCTGAGGGGGGCTCGGCCCGAGCGGCGATCGCGGGCGGATAAACTCGCCCCCGCCGCCAGGAGGCTTTGGCCGCGGCTGCCGGTCCCCTCTCGCGGGATTCCCTGCCTTTCTCGGATGTGCTTGTAGTCCTTGGTCGCGATTATGAAACCCGCCGCGGGGATTCCCTCCTAGTGAGCCCCGTCCGGCCAAGCCGCGAGGAGCTGCCTCGCCTCCCTCTCGCCCACAGCCTCCGCTCCCCCAACCGAGGACCTATCCTCAGCCGCCCCGGCTCGCCATGGGGCTGGAGGTCCCGCCGAGAGTCCCTCCTTCGAAGCCTCCGCTCTCCAAACTGAGGAAAGTTCGCAAGAGGCGGGAGATGCTGCTGCAACAGCTGGGCTTCGTCTGCACGATCCTCTTTTTTGTTTGGTGCATGGCCAAGCTAGGTAGGTGGGTGGCCCTCTGTGTGTGTGTGTGTGTGTGTGTGTGTGTGTGTGTGTGTGTGTGTATGTTTGCGTGAAATGACCTACAGGGTATGCAGGTGGATTGCACACATATTCCCATGCCGAGGGAAGAGGGAAGCTGGGAGAAACGGATAACGTGGTATAAATAGGGCATCTCTGTCTCTTGTATGGCATCCTTGTCGATCTGCCCGGGTAACAGTGATTTTTATTATTTAATTCAGCCGGGAACAGTTCCGGATGTCTGAATGTCTGAGGATGCGGGAACTGCATCCAATGGCATCTTTCCCATGTCGGGTGTTCAGTGAGGTACTCTCTGGGAAACATACAAGCAAGAGGTTTCACCTGTTGTGGCCTCCGAAAGTTTAGAGCAGCCGTCATAAGATGGCCATGCCCAATACGTTTGTGTAATCCATTTGAATAATGTGCAAGTGACCGCCTTGTGTCTAGCGCTTTCATAAATTATCTGTGTAAAATAAGTGCTTCCTTATTGTTTTATATTATTTTATTTTGGTGCTTGAGCTATTGTCAGTAAAGTAGCAATGTTCTAGCCAGTCCTTGGGATCCTCACGTTTATTTTGAAAACATTGAGTTTCTGATATTTTCCTAAATAAGTATTTTCAGAGTTACAGTGTTACTTATTGAAAGGATGTGTCCTGCTCCTTGATCTACAGTACAGAGCTGTGTATTACATTTTAGGCAAGAATTGGGGGGGGGGGTATCATTTGATCTCTATGGGCACCGATACATAAGGGATTCATTATTGTTAAGCAGACATCTCAAAACTGTAGTTTTGTTTTAACAGTTACCAGTCTGTAATACCACTTCCTAGAAAAAAACACATTAATTCCTAGAAAAGACACATTAATATGTATTCATTTTAGAATACAACGTCTAAACCAAAGTGAATCTAAGAATCAAACTGGAGATATTTAATAATTAAATCACATTTTTCCAAGTCGCTATGGAGTGATTTTCATGATTGCATAATAAACATTAATGAATTGAATTAATACTGATTAGGAAATCAGAGAAAGAGCAGAGGAAAAGAAGTATCTGTGGTATAATGTTGCGTGCTATTAGAGGTAGTTATTTGGTGACTGTCCCATTTCTTCATATATTGTACAAGAAAGCCAACAGTCCCTTTAAGTGAGCTCTCAATAGGGAAGATGATGTTTTCTGTAAAAGGATGATGATTGTATTTAATGCACTCCATCCCCACCTTTAGGAGAGTTCCCTGCTAACTGAGTTACATAAAGCTTGTGAACAGAAATTGCATCACTCCTGTGTTTTCTGTTTCTTCTATGCTGCTCACTTTGTACATCTTCCAAAATGGGCAGGTTGAAAGTAGGGCTGCCATCTGATGTTTAGAAATGATCAGCTATGGACTTTTGCTGTCTCTTCTAGGGAGTTTAACGAGTCTACGAGATCAGAAACTAGGGTGATCTGTCATGTTCTAGGGATACGTTATATCTCTGCACTTTGGCCAACCCTCTAAATTAAAAGAGGCTGTTAAGAAGACACACCAAATGGAACAACTAATTTCTTTTTTAGAAAAAATAAGAGATTTGGCAAGTACAGTGGTTTCACTCTAATAAGAAGTAGGAAACACTACTTTGTTCAACTGTCATGCTGCCAGGTGGCTATTAAACGAATGACCTGTACAGCTGAGACTAACAGTTTTTCTTATCTTGGACAAGCCAGGGTTCCCATTATCATTTCACTAATAATAGGCAAGGAAAAAAAAATACAGTATCAAAAGCTGCCCTAGGAACAAATGTAGTATGTGTATAATGAATAATGTAAATTACTGAATAATGTAAATTACTCTCTGTGGTTTCTCTCACTCAGAGCAGGCTAAGACTGCAGTCCTGTGCATAGTTACTAGGGAATATGCTTGGTCAAACTTAGGAAAACTGGCTTCCCCGTGAAGATGTATTGGTTTATGTTATACAAGGATGAGCTAGAGATAATGCAACATTCCCATCTCTTAGGCATGAGATCAGACAAGAACCTCAAAGCCCTTTCACAAAGGAATTAAGCACATCAACCAATTCCACGAATCCCATTCTCTTTGGAAAGCATCATTCACTACTCAGTTCTCAGTGGTATAACTTAAATGCCACCCTGCTTCTCTTCTTATCAGGCCTTTACTAGAGAAGTGATGGTTTTAAGACTGAAGAAAATGAACAGTTTGTTGGTAATGTCTAGACATTTTGCCAGGTTATCAGGAAAAGATCTTCCACGCTATATTGCAATGGAGTGTGGCCTCACATAAATAATATTATTGATAGTTATTATTATCAGCATACCGGGTGCCATTCCAAAAACTCTTGGATGGCATTTAGAAAATCTACATTAGCCAAATTTCCATCTGACAATTACAAAAGCCACACTGTTTGAAACTGCACATATACTCTGCTGATACATTACGGCATCCTAGGTTCTTGGGAAGAACATGATGTGTATGACAGATTTAACAGAACAGAATAGAATAGAATAACAGAGTTGGAAGGGACCTTGGAAGTCTTCTAGTACAAACTCCTGCTCAGGCAGGAAACCCTGTACCATTTCAGACTAATCTCCATCCAGTGATGGAGTACCCACATCTTCTGAAGGCAAGCCATTCCACTGATTAATTGTTGTAACTGTCAGGAAATTTCTCTTTGTTTCTAAGTTGATTTTCTCCTTGATTAGTTTCCATCCATTGCTTCTTGTTCTGCTTTCAGGTGCTTTGAAGAATAGGTTGACCCCCTCGTCTTTGTGGCAGCCCTTTAGATATTGGATATCTGCTATCATGTTATCCCTAGAACTTCTTTTCATTAAATTAGACATACCCAATTCTGGCAACCGTTCTGTATATGTTTAAGCCTCCAGTTCCCTAATCATCTTTGTTGATCTTCTCTGCCCTCTTTCTAGAGTCTCAACATTTGTTTTTACATCATGGCGACCAAAACGAGATGCAGTATTCCAACTGTGGTCTTATCAAAGTATTATAAAGCAATGTTAACACTTCACGTGATCTTGATCCTATCCCTCTTTTAATGCAGCCTAGGACTGTGTTAGCTTTTTTGGCAGTTCAACACCAGTTCAATACCAGCTAAAGAACTGGAAGCTGTGAATTCACACAGTTGTGTAAATACTAATTTGTTAAATATGTGTGCTGTGAGCAACTCTGGGCAGCTCACAGCAATCAATAAAAGGCTAAAAGATAAAGATAAAAGGTGGTCTCCCTGTCCCTTGCCAAAGACCTGGCTGAACAGTCAAGTCTTTATGCTCTTCCAGAGAATAGCAGAATGGGAGCTATCCAGATCTCGGGAATCACATTCCAGATGGGGAGGTGCTGCTCTAGAGAGGATGTGCTTTTGGGATCCTGATATATGATATTGTTTAATCGAAGGAACCTGGAACACACCAACCCTGCCAGATTGAATTGGGAGACAGACTGTCCCTCAAATAAAACCGGGCCTTATGCCATTGTTTGATTTGTACCCTCTGTAGCCCTCCTGAGGTGGGTAAAGCCTAAAATTTTCAACTTTTTTTTGCATTATGGGTAAGATGAACAGTAAAATGGATGCTTTAATCCTTGCAAAAACACGAGGCAACATTTCATACCTTCAAATACTGAGCCCAGTCAAATCAGGCTGTCCCCCCCCCCCCTTGTTTGGTGTTAAAGGACAAAATGGATACATTTAGTCAAGGCACAAAGACGAAGAATGATCCCACGTTTCAATGAAGTTGACCACCCCATCATTATCTGATTACTTGGTTATTTTCACTGGACTTAAGAGATATTGACGCTGAAATTTTCTCCATATAAAAGAAAGCCGTAGGAGTACAGCGGAGGATTTAAATATAAATATGACTGCATTACATAATTTAGATTCACCTACTGTGAACTTTATTAATATTTGTGAGGACCAACCTTCCTTCCTTCCTTCCTTCCTTCCTTCCTTCCTTCCTTCCTTCCTTCCTTCCTTCCTTCCTTCCTTCCCTCCCTCCCTCCCTCCCTCCCTCCCTCCCTCCCTCTTTCTTTCTTTCTTTCTTTCTTTCTTTCTTTCTTTCTTTCTTTCTTTCTTTCTTTCTTTCTTTCTTTCTTTCTTTTTTATAGATGCTGGGATTCTATACCCCTCTCCTGATGTTTTAGTAATCAATTTTTAATTTCAGTCTTAGTGACATATTGCTACCCTCTTACATACTGTATGAAGAAGTTGTTAAGGGGAAAGAAGAATGTAAAAAAGCCATACCGGCCTTGTTCCCACAACCCATACTGTCATATACTGAGGATCAGCATATCAGATGTGATCTAGAAGGGTTTGATCTTAGCTCAAGGGATCAATTGCCCCACCTGAGTCCAACTCCTAGATAGTTCTATGAAAAGGGGACTTTTATAGGAATTAGCTGCCCGTCATTGTCTTATTTTTTTTTACTTTTCCACAGCATGCATGGGGTAAAACAAAAGAATAAAATAAAGGGGTTGGCTGTGTCCCACCAATTTTGGACTAGAAAAAAAAATAACACATCAGTCCTTGAAGATGGACGATGTCAAAAAATAGATTACTGGTAGACTAGAACTGTACTGAGATAAGCCATTATGTAGTAAAGAATCTTGCAAGTCTGCTTGTATCTTCCCTTCCTTCCCTCTTATATGAAGGAGTCTGGAAGGCAAGTGGGGGGGCTACACTGAGTCATTTTGTAATGCTCTCTTACCTTTCTGGATTTAACACATGTTTTATTTGCACCTGGTACTTCTCAACAGTCTCTGGAGTCTTTCTTCATGGTCATCTCTCTGGCTCTGTATGCTCCGGACCACTGTGGATTTTTTTTATTGCTCTGATTAAAAACAAAGCAATACAAAAGAAATGGCAGCCACTCAATCTCCTTGGCCAGATCCTGGGAGAATTTATAAAATGGTTGCTCCCAACTGACTAGGTCACCAGAGATTGTGCTTTACCAGCACACAAGATGAGGCTACCAGTAGTTGAGGTCGCTCACTTGGCCAGCAATGTCATGTAAACATTGGCAATTTATTTGCTTTTCCCAATGTGATGTGTCCCAGATGTGTTAGACTGTAAGATTTACTATCCCCAATGAGCAGGGCTATAGTAATTCAAGATAGAAAAGTATGAATTGTACCTAGTAGAGGTTCCTGGGGAAAGCTGGTCAAAACTATATAAGCATTCAGCATGCCTCAAATTTTAAAGCATAAAATCCTTTTTAGAGAAACCTTTGAATTCAGCATGGATTCTAAATTAGTGTACAAGAAAAGATATACATATATTCTATCATCACCTTTTTTTTAAAAAAAAGTGAGTATTTTTGTGCATGTAACCAACTTTGAATGGTGCCCTGTCAGTTTCATTTAATGTGGATGCATATGCATAGACATCCATATTGATAAGCCAATGGTTCCTAATGGCTCGTTCCAACCAACTCTTTACAGACCATGGGAAAATCCTGTAGAGAAGGAAAAGTTGTTTTAGAAGTTACTGGTCAGATGATGAACAGAAGTGTGTAGTCCTCCACTCATATGTCTAATAAAATCCTTGCAATGTTTGCATTTCCATGCCATGTTTTATTTGTGGAAATAAAAATATAGTTAATTCCTACAAAACTCTTTAATGATATGGATTCTATGGAAAGTTTCCAATTCCATCTCCTTAAATACAGGTTCTCCACAGGGCTGTGTCCTGAGCCCTCTACTGTTCACCTTGATGACCCACGACTGCTGTGCCAAATCTCCTATGAATCATATTGTGAAGTATGCAGACGACATGGCAGTGGTGGGTCGTATCTGGGATGACAGTGAAGATGCTTATAAGGAAGAGGTGAAGGCTCTGGTGGACTTTGCAATAAAAGTAACCAGGTTCTAAATGTTGATAAAAGAAAGGAGATCATTGTAGATTTCAGAAAGAAATACTCCACTCAGTATCAAGGATTCAGCTGTAGAGATGGTCAACAGTATTAAGTATCTGGGGGTGCAGATAACAAACAATCTGAATTGGTCTCTCCACACGTCATCCTTAGTGAAGTGTACAAACCAGCATCTTCATTTCCTGCATCAGATGAGGAGAGCACAACTCTCTCCTTCTGTCCTGGCCACTTTTTACAGAGGCACGATTGAAAGCATTTTAACAAACTGCATCACTGTCTGATTTGGTGGCAGCAGTGCCTCAGATGGAAAGTCCATGTAGAGAATGGTAAGGACAGCCGAGAAGATAATAGGAAGCTCGTTTCCTGGTATTCAGGATGCTGCTTATAAGCGCTATGTGCTTAGACCTGAAAGCATTGTTAGAGACCCCACACACCCACTATATGGTCTGTTTCTGTTGCTCCCCTCTGGGAGGAGGTTTTGAAGTATTTCTAGCAGGACTACCCAATTCTTTAATAGCTTTGTTCCCTATCCCATCCATCTGGTTAACTCACAAGATTCGTTTTTCACACCATGCACATGTATACATAATCCAAACTAGACTGCTGTTTCTCTGTGTCGTGTAATATATGTGGGTATATGCATAATTATGTATGTTTGTATGTATGTATGTATGTCATATTTATGTAGTGTATATCGGAGGTGGTGACCCTTTAAGAGCTGAGTGCAATGAAATTTCATTTTAATGTATGCTGATAAGTGTACATTCAAAGTGACAATAAAGTTATTCTATTCTATTCTATTCTATTCTATTCTATTATTCTATTCTTATATTTGATTCCATTATAAATACATTGCATTACATTTATTTTTTTACCTTTTGCGTTTTCAGTTATATAACTGTAAGATTGCTAAGTTGCAAGGTATTAAGCCCACTTCATGAACTTTTCCCATTTTATTTTTTAAGCCTGAGCTGTATGAATGAGCCCAGGGGGCCTATATTACTCTGCTTCTAAAGCTAGCATTTCTGTGGGAATTTAAATGGCAGGTTCCTACTGGGTATCTTTAGAATAAAGGCTTATTTGAAATTGTCTCTGCATAGTACACTTGAAAGAGATTCTTGAAGTAACCATCTATTAACTGAGAACAGTACAAGTCTTGTGTACATTGTTTTATTACTTTTGTACGGCCTGGCTGTTGAACTGAAGGAGAATAGTGAAGCAAATGTTCATTTTCCTCCCATTTCTTAAATTCTTTTATTTTTGTTATTATTATTCTTATTTTCCGCCAATTTGTTTGCCCTGGGAACTATCATTGAGGATTATATACCTGATATTTTTTGGAATGCTTCTAAGTGTTCTTCAACATTTGTATAAATGATTTAGATGAGGGAGTAGAAGAATATTAATCAAATTTGCAATGACACAAATTAGGCTGGGATTACTAATACCTCAGAAGACCGGCTCAAGGTTCAAAAAGATATCAGTAGTCTTGAACATCATCCCAAAAAACTGTGGAGTTCTGCATTTAGATAGGAAAAATCAGATGCACACGTACAAGGTAAATGGTACCTGTTTTCGCAATAGTATTTGAAGAAGGAGCTGGATGTATAGACCACAGATTAAACATGAGGCAGTTTTACCCCATACTAATCAGATCATATCTGCAATACAAGTAATCTAGTTCTTGCTTAATGTTCACTCATTCAGCAACTATTCAAAATTGTGGCCCTGAAGAGGTTTATTTAGGATGATTCCTCATATTCATGGCTGTTGCAGTTTCTTCATTGTCACATGATCATGATTTGGACACTTGGTGACCACTTGCAATGATGACATTGAAGCGTCCCATGGTTATGTGATTGCCCTTTACAACTATGGCTGCTGCCTTATGACAAACAAAATCAATGAGGAAACTGGCAGGAGGTCGCAAATGGTAATCACGCGACTGCCATTGTAAGTCAGCATGATCAAATGACATCATATCTTATGATCACATCACTTAGTGATGAAGTTCCTAGTCTCAATTTCTGTCAATAAAAGAAGACTACTTGGGTTGTATCCAGGTTTGCTTGCTATAATACAAAAAGAAAGCTGAAGAACTAGAAAGAATATGAAGAGTAGCAATAAAGATGGTAAGGGCTTTGGAAGCTGTATCCTATAAACAACAGTTAAAGAAAGTGGCTGCATTTAGCCTAAAGAAAAGAAGACTAAGGGGTGGCATTGGAGTGGTCTTCCAAAACATGGAGGAATATTCCAAGGACAAGGCTGTGATTTTATTCTTCTTAGTGCTTGAAGGTAAGACAAGAACCAATGGGTGGAAGCTTTACAAAAAAAAAGATACAAACTCAAACTAAGGAGGAATCTCCTGTCTGTGAAACCTGTTGAACAGTGGAACAGCCTGTATCTTGGAGTTGTGGTTGTTTCATCACTGGAGGTTAGAATAGAATAGAATGGAATGGAATGGAGCGGAGCGGAGCAGAGCAGAGCAGAGCAGAACAGAATAGAATAGAACAACACACTTGGAAGGGACCTTGGAGGTCTTCTAGTCCAACCCACTGCTTAGGCAGGAACCCTATACCATTTCAGACAAATGGTTGTCCAATCTCGTCTTTAAAACTTCCAGTGTTGGAGCATTCACAATTTCTGGAGGCAAGTTGTTCCACTGATTGTTCTAACTGTTAGGAAAATTATCCTTAGTTCTAGATTGCTTCTCTGTTTGATTAGTTTCCATCCATTGCTTCTTGTCCTGCCTTCAGATGCTTTGGAGAATATCTTGACTCCCTCTTCTTTGTGGCTACCCCTGAGATATTGGAACACTGCTATCATGTCACCCCTCATCCTTATCTTCATTAAACTAGACATACTCAATTCCAACAACCGTTCCTTATATATTTTAGCCTCCAGATTTTCAATCAAAGGTTGAACAGCCATTTGTCTGTTAAATTCCCACCCTGAGCAAGAGGTTAAAAATCCTGTGATTCTGTGATTCTATGATTCTATGCCTGCATGTCCCTCCATAGATAGTCCCATGCTTATCTACCATGTTGTATTCTTGCTCATCACAGTTAAGTGATTAACTGAGCTGTGTTGATCACTCACATGATCAGGATGGAACTTTCTGCATATTATTAGTATTAATGGCCATATCTTACTTTTTCACAACTCTATGAGATGGTTTTGTATCTTATGATTTATCACTTTATTACTTGTGTGTATACTGAGAGTTTATGTACCAGAGACAAATTCCTTGTGTGTCCTATGACACTTGGCCAATAAAGAATATTCTATATTCTGTTAGTTCAAGGTCACACAAAAATGTCCATTGCACATCCTGATTTCTGAAGTCAATACTGTAACCAGTATAGCACTTTTTGTCTTTCTTCTTTATCATCTTCCCATTCCTCCTCTTGTCTTGGATATTTTTCTATTATGTATCAGTCCATATATAATTTATATGTGTCAAAAAATTATCGGATACTCCTTTCCAGCTAATAAGGTGGAGAATTCATGGTGATAGATGTATTAATAGTTTGATTCAGTAGGAGGCAACTTCCATTTTAGTCTAATGGTTTTTTAATGGAAAGAATTATATATATATATGGATAACCCAAAGTCCTTTTTGCCCTTACAAATAAGTGTCTATCTTTGTGCAGGACAAGAGTCAGCTGTTGAAAACCAAAGTGTTCTGTCAGAATTATGGAGAAATAGAAAATTGATGGCGTCACATAATGAGTCACACAAAAAGAACTGCACAGAGCCAGGTAAGAAATGAAGAGCTTTAAGATACTGTTCACTTCTATCTTATTGTGGCAATAAGCAGCAGTGTGTTAGAATTGGAAGACTGTGCCAGGCAGGAAGATGGTTTAATAAGTGCCTAAATTGGTGAGGGAGAACTGGCAGAGAAATGGAAGGATTACACAGCCGGGAGAAAAAGTACATTTTCAGGGACACAAAATATGCTAAAATCTTCATGGTGAATTGCAGGGAGATTCTTCTCTATTGCTTGTTATGGTTTTATCACGTATATACTGAGGAAGTTGATTACTTTGAAATGGTACCTCTTTTCTTTTCGTCCTTTTGTTTTGTTGCACAGAGCCAAACAAACACCTACACATTTCAGCATGTGGTTATATTTGTATTATTGGTGTTGACAGTCTTATAAATTAACTTCCATATTTGGATTTTTCTAAAATGAAAACATATGTTTGAAAACTATTTAGAAACATAGGTGTCTGAATGATGGGAAAAGAGCTGTCATTATATTGTTATTATATTTGAAAAAAAGGCAGATTTTTTTTTCAAAGTTGTTGAATTTAGGAGCTCTTTGTTAGTATTCCAGATTTATCATTAATGCTATAATTCAGATTCTGGCATAACTACTTTTAATGGTTATGCTTTCTATTTCCATTTGACTGCTATTAAGAGAAGAATAAGTAATTTTTGTGTTTCATGTTTTTATAAAGTGCATCCACCAACCAACTGCCAGATAGATGTTCAGTTCTAATATTCTTGACAACTCAAGAAAGATCAGGAAGCAATTTTTCAAAAGAGTTCAATAATAAGAGATGACATTTTCATTTATTTAGAATATTTCTGGCCTACATTTATGGTGAAAAGCTCTCCCAAGGGAGCTTACCCATATAAAAGGGACAAACAGTAATAAAAGCAACATCAAAACAGACATTTAAGAAGGCACAGCACAAAGTACTCCTCAAAATAATAAATTTAATCACTATTTTAGCTGGGGCCTTAACATTCGCATAGATTGACTTTTAAAAAAACCAAGAAAGCATAATGACTCCTGATCCCTTAGTAAATGAAGATGGCATCTACTCCCCAGAGATGGCCTCATCAGTTCCATAACTACCAAAGACAGATTCCAGCTTTGGGGTTTTGCCAGAGTTCTATACTTAGGTGTCTTTTCCCTGTCCATTTACTGTTTAGTTTCTTAAAGAACAATCAAGGAAGCTTAATAGACAGAATTTTTTTCCGAGTACTGACTTCCTGCATTTCAGAGTTTCTGTATGGAGGGACATCAGCTGTGGTGTGTGTGTGTGTGTGTGTGTATGTGTGTGTAGAGCCATACAAGATCAGATCAAGAACCCTTTAGTTCAGCATTTTATTTCCATCAGTGGCCAGCCAAATGCTTTTGGAAAACTCACAAGAGAACACAGAGGGATGAGTTCTCCTATGTGATTTCTTTGCACAATTTTGTATTCATGACATCAATCTTTTGTAAATGTAGGCACTGTTTTCCCCATGATTAATAACTGTAGATGAACTGGCTTAACCCCTTTTTTCAAATTATCTATGCTACTTAACGTGATTACCATAATGATATCTTCTAACAATACATTGTGTAAGTTTGCTATTTGTTATTTGAAAAAGTACCTGCAGCCAGCTGCCCAAATCTACTTTCACTTAATCCTATTTGATGAACCTAATTTCTGAAGTTTTCAGAGTGAAAAATTTCTCTCTAGCCCACTTTCTTCTTACAGTTCATGCATGCCCTGCAGAGTTGCTATGATTTGGGTGGCCTATAAATATGATTTATGAATGAATGAGAGCAAGAAAGATAACATAGCACCAGCAATGCCATTTCTGATAGAAAAGGTTTTGGATAGCATATGCCATTTCTTGTTTAAGTTGAGCAATATTTCTCCACATTCATTTTAAGTATACAGAAAAAGAGGAGAAATGGCAAAAGTAATGAAGACAGGCAGGCAAATTGTTAGGCAACATCAGTTCTCAGCTAGTAGTAGTTTTCTTCTCTGGATTTGGATGCACCATTCCATCATTTGAAGGCTCAATTGCTAGCCCTATGCAGCATTCTTTTGTGTACAGGTAGATCATGCCAGCTTTCCCCAATCAATAGTTCTTCAAATGTAGGGTATCAGTGCGCCCGGTTCTTAGCCTAAGTGCTCTTGCACTTGTTAGCTGGTGGTTATGTGCGTTGAAATGCAACATCTTCAGAGGCCCCAAAAGACGAGACTGTATACTGTATTTGGTTTTCAGTTTTGTTGTGTTTGACTTGTTTTTGATTTGGTTTCTTATGTGAGATACGACAGGAATGTTTTTTAGAACCACAGAATGGAATATAAATGTATGAATGAGCAAATCCACAGAATACCCAGAAGATACTTATAACTATTGCATATATTAGGTATTATTATATTTGCAATAATAAATGTGTAAGATAAAAGTAAATTCTGAAAATGATTCTTCCAAAAGACAAATGCTCAAAATTCATTTTAACGATTACTGTGGTGCTTTCAGTGGCACTTATTCTATATAGATCATATTGTATCCTTTAAAACAAGGGTGTCAAACTACCGGCCCACGGGCCAGATGCGTCACACCAAAACCACACCCACCCCATTGCCGGCAATGGGGAAAATGTTGCGATACGTTGCGACACATCATGTGACGTCGCAAGTTTGATACCCCTGCTTTAAAATATATGTTTATAAAGCAACAATGTATCTTTATATTTCTTAAGAGAGGAAAAAGGATGGTTTACAATGTAATAATACATTTTTGGATTGTGCTTATTGGTTAATCCCATTAGCACAGTCTCCTGGCAAATTCTCTTGCACATCTCTTGCAGTATTTTTTTTTTAAAGATTCTCATTACAAACTTTTTCATGCAACTTCTTCTTAATTTCAATTAATTTTAATTTCTTTTATATAATTAATTTATATCCGGTATAGCTAGATACATAAAAGAACAGAGGTCATACATTTTTAATAATTGGTTGTTCTGCTGGTGGCATCAGCTAAAATATTCTTGCCTACAGAATTAGGAAATGGACAGGTGCCCTGTCTTCTTTTACATCTGGTCCTATTGTGTACAAATCTCACTGAGTTTGCCATTGAGTTTCTCTACTAGCATATAGTCATTTCTTAAGAGTTGGATGAATCATGAGTTTGTGGTAGACCACCAGAAGCAACCCGTGAATAAAAGTTGCATTTATTTATGCAAGATAAAATAGGATGACATTCCATTAACTAGATGATGATGGGGGTGCACAATGTGGGCTCCTGCTTGAAGAGCAAGTGGTAGCCATGGTTAGGAGGGCCTTTGCACAATTTCAAGTTGTGCATCAGTTGTGCCTATTCTTGGACTGGGAGGCTCTGCTCAGTATCACTCATGTGACCTTGTGACCTCCTGTCTGGATTACTGCAATTCACTCTACATGGGGATGGCTTATTACCATGTAGGTGTTGGTTATCTGGCACATATAACACCACTACTTTATGAGCTGGATTGGTGGCCAGTGTGCTTCCGAGTGCAATTCAAGGTGTAGGTTAGAACTCTTAGAGCCCTGCATGGCTTGGGATTGGGGTACCTTGAGGGATTGTCTCAAACTGGTTGTTTGTACCCATCCAGTCCAGTCAGTTGTTGGTTGTTTCTACCCATCCAATCCAGTCAGATCCTGGCCCATCGATTAAGGAATGCCAGTATGTAGAGCCCAGAAGGCATGCGTTTTCTGCTGCTCCATTGATGGAATATTCTCCCTCTGATGATCAGGATGGGCCTGACCATGCTAGCCTTTTATACAGCCTTAAAAAGCTGGTTCTGTATCCAGCCCTGGAGTTCTAAGTAAGTGAAGAGACCGATCTTCTGGATATCTTAGTGATTTTGGGTTGTAATACTTTCTCAATTGCTATGTATTTTAATTTTTGTGTTTGTTGTGATTTTTATTTTTATTTTGTTATTGCCCACCACCCAGAATCACATACTGAGTTGGACAACTATATAAATTGATTCAATAAATAAATATTTATTTGTTGCCCTTTCACTAAAAGCTCAAGATCTAGGCTGCAAAAACCTGAATGATCATGAAATGACAATGAACAGATTTTCTTTATTTCTGTGTAGCCATCTAGTGGTTGTTTGGAGTTTTGTAGTCCAAATCTGGTAGCCCTGTGAAATTGCCTTTGAGTTGGGCTCAGCTGCTGCTGATTTCATGGCAAAGCCTTTGACATGTTCTTGGCAACAATATAAGTCATCTGACTTTGCATTATTCTAGATCAGGGTTGTCAAATTGCTGGCCCGCAGGCCAGTTGCATCATGCAAAGACTGGCCCACCCCAGCTCCGGCAATGGAAAAAGAAGTTGTGACATGTGACGCAATGAGTTTGACACCCATGTTCTAGATTATGTGGATATTTATTTATTTATCAGTCCAGCTTACAACCCAGAAGTTTCTGGTGGTTTCCCATCCAAGCACTAAGCAGTTCTGATCCTGTGTAGCTTCAAAGCACAAGATCAAGTAGTGACATCTGCTAAAGACATCAATTGTGCTGTCCTGCTTACAGATAACACCCACGTAACTGTAGTTTAGTGGATTTATTAATATTCTCCTGCAACTCCCTTCACCAAAAACCCAGAACTGTCCCAATTAAGTCCAGCCACAAGCAGCCCAATGCTAGTCCATAAAGCAATGGCCAGTGAGTCCACAAGACACTTGAAAGTTTCCCAGTCAAAATGAACCCACCAGGCAAAATTAAATCCACAATACAAGAGGGTTCACAAGGCAAGAAAAGTCCAGAGTTCACCAGGCACAAACTAAGTCAAGGCAGGGTGTTGTCCAAAGCAGGATCAGGTGCAGCAGGCAATTCCTTTTCCTCATCACTGACTGGCTCCAGCTGCATGCTTTCTCCACCTGAAGCTTCTGGGCTGTCCTCTGCAGCTGTGTTTGAGCCAAATCCTTCTCAGATGGCTGCTTGGAGCCATTAACCAACTCACCTCCAGAGGT